CAGTCAACTGGTCAGCATCCGATTGAAGAAGAAATGAGAGAAAAAAAAAAGGGCATTTTTTTTTAGAAATGGAAAAAATGAGTGAAAAATTTTTTTTGGACCTTTTATATAAACGTAAAACCAAAACGATGTCGTTTCGATAAAGCCCAAAATGACGTCGTTTTAACCCTTGAGGATCAGCACGTCAACCCGTGACTTGACCTGGGGTCCGTGCACTCGACCCGCGACCCGTTGTTCTTTCAACCCCTGATCGGTCCATTTGAACCGGACTGCGCTCGAACCGTTGAGCCACCCAGACCATTCCCAAACCGAGCCGAACCGTCGAACCAAATCGGACGTTGATCGGATCGTTGACCGATCCGGTTCAGGTAAAAGAATTTTTTTTCATATATTATTTTATTAATATTTATGCATATTAAAATATTTATATTTGTTAGATTAAATGATGAAATATGTGGTTAATTTTTTTTATAATTTTGTTAATTTTTAAAATAAACTTTAAAAACAAAATAATATAAAAATAAATATAATAATAATACTAAACTAATAAAAAATATAGGAAAAGGAAATTTTTATCTGACGATGAGATTCAAAGGTATTCCGAGTAGTGATGCCTACGAAACTTCTAGGTGAAAAGATTTTTTTAAAAATACTACCAGTGTATTAGAGTATTTATAAAAAATTTTCAATACAGTAAAGATTTTTTTTTAAATAATAAATAAAAATTAGTTAATAAATTAAAAATATATGTAATAAAAATAGGAAGAAAAGAAATTTTATCCAACGATGAGATTCAAAGGTATTCCGAGTAGTGATGCATACGAAATCTCTAGGTGAGAAGATTTTTCTAAAATACTACCAGTGTATTGGAGTATTTATAAAAAATTTTCAATACAGTAAAGATTTTTTTAAAATAATAAATAAAAATTGGTTAATCAATTAAAATATATGTAATAAAAATAGAAAAAAAATTTTTATCTAATGATGGGATTCTAAAAGTATTCCGAGTAGAGATGTTTTAAGAAATCTCTAGGTGAGAAGATTTTTTGTAAAATATTACCAGCGTATTGGAATATTTATAGAAAATCTTCAATATAAATAAATTCCTTTTTCTTCAAAATTTTAATTAAAAATAAAACAATTAATAAAACAATTAATAAAATTTTTGAAAAAGAATAAAATGTGTGCATCAACATGTTATTATTTGCATTGCATACATGATAATTTTTTTTACGAAAAGTAAATTCGGACCTCCAAAGATAAGATGATAAGGTATTTCAAGAAGTGATGCCTAAGAAATCTTTCAGTGAGAAAGAGTTCTTCTAATGTTACCAACGTATTGGAACATTTTAAGAATTATTTCAATAAAAATATTTTAATTTATTTTTTTCAAATAATATTTGAATAAAAAATAATAAGTAAAAATCAAAAAAATTAATTTTCAAATACCGAAAATAAGACTGTTTTTATCAAAATCGAAGGATAATATGTAGTTAATTGGTACCGCTTTTAACAGGTGCTGTGGGGATGCTAATTCTTCCCCACATGTAACCGACTCTCGAACCCAAACTATTTCGCAGACCGTAAAATTATCTTTTTAAGAAATTTTAATTAATTTTAAAATTTTTTAAAAGGATATGTTTTAGTAGGTGGCCAATCGCACATAGCCAAAAAAATATTGGTGGCGACTCTGTTATTTTTTATTTCGTTTCCAAATTCGTCAGATGGACACAAAACCGTTACGACAGCTTAGCGATTTCGTTGGGGATAGACATTTGTTTTTAAGAGTCAGGCCAAAATTAACTACTTGTTATCCTCAAATTTTGATTTAAATAGTCTTAATCAATTTCTTAAATTTTTATTCTTCATTTTTAGTAAAAAAAAAATCAAAAAAATAAAAAATAAAAAGCAAAAAAATTCACACACATTTCTTTTATTATGCATGTTTTATTTTCCTGTATATATTGCTCTCAATAAATTAGGATATATTTGCACACAATGACACGATGCATCTCATACATGAGCTCTATACCCGGGCTTCATCCTTTATAGGAAAAAGTAAAGTACCTATGCTTTCGTGAAGTGATAACCTTCGCAATGGCAAGTGAAATACTTCCACTCGAATTGAGCCCTTTCCGTTCATAGCCTGTAATAGGTGAGGATCGGGGTGCCTTACTAGTCCAACATGGACGACAGTGAGGAACAATTTGAGAACCTTTAGACCCTGTCAATCCAAACCCAGCATATAATAAGCCTAGGAAACCAGCCTTATGTAGAGCCTTATCTATCTTCTTGTAGAAATACCTAAGAATAAAAATTGTGTATAATATGAAACAAAACAAAACATAAAAAATCTCAAAAACACTAAAAAAAAAAAATATTTTTTTTGAACCACACTAACTCAATTTTGTTTCATTCTTTTGCATTAATCATATCATACAGTTTTGCATCGAGATATTTACTCTAAGACATATTTCTCCTAAGAAGTTTTCATAGATCCCGTAGAACTACAAATTTGCTCATCCTCAGTCAGTGTGCCATGTGAATCGTATAATGAAGTACATATTTGGTCGAAAGAAATTCAACAAAAGAATGAAGATTATTTGCCTACCGGTTATGTGTCTGAATTACCCAAAAAAGTATATTTAGATCTCACACAGAATGATTTAAAAAAGTTAGCTGCTGTCTGGGGTCAGTTAAGTGAAGAAAAAAAAAAGCTTTTGCAAAAAGTATGGGCAGATTGCATCCTTCATTTCAGTAGTGATTGATGAACAGCTGGTCAAAGCAGCTATATAGTTTTGGGATCCATCCTATAGATGCTTCACTTTTAATCAGAAATATTTGGTGCCAACTATCGAGGAGTATTCGATTTTGCTCGGGATAGAACTACAATGTCCAGATAAAGTATTTATCTGAAAGCCAAAATCAAGTTATTGCAAAAAGTTAGCCAAGCTTATAGGGGTTAAAGTAAAAACCATTGATTCTTTCACGAAATCTAAAAGTGAACATCTCAGTATTCGTTAGGATTTTCTCCAAAACTTCATTCAGGAGTATTTAAATGATGATCAAGGTATGGTTGTGTTTGCTCTAGCATTGTATGGCATGAAAATCTTTTCGAAGACTTTGGGTTACATTGAGATAACTATGGTAGACTTTTTCGAGCAAATTAAAACCCAAGCAATTAATCATGTTCAAGCAATCCTGACCGAAACCATTAGGTCATTGAATTTCTGTCGATGAAATGAAAAAAGACGATTCATGGGATGTGCATCTCTATTATACGTATGGGTTAGAAGTCATTTCAAGTGTAAAAAGAATGCATTTTTGAAATCATATCTTCGAAATAAGGCACCAATCGAAGAGTTTTGTAAAAGCCAATGGTCAATATTGAAGACTAAGAAAGATTGGGTCATTTTTTTGTGAAGGCTTATTGGGGATGAAATCGAGTGGATGGTGCCTTGGATGCCTCGTGTGCCCTTGTTGTATCATGGAGAAAATGAGCTGTGGATATCGTTGTTAGGATTATGGGGTATTGTAAGTTACTCTCCATTGATTGTACTTAGGCAATTTGGTGCAAAGTAGTTTGTTCATGTTGCTCATGGCCTGGTCCAAGTAAAATTTATTTATGGGGAATCGAATCCATCAAGAACCTTAGAGCAGTTAATCCAAGCATGAAAAAAAATACAAAGAATGAGATTAGGGCCTCTCATTGATAAAGTCACTCATGATTATCAGATTTGGAAAGTAAGACGCCCTAGAGACATAGTACTCCCTCCTGATGATAGCTCATAGCAATTGGTTAATCTTTCAAAAGAGGTGCAATTATTAGAAGTTGAGCTTGTCAAGAAAGAATTAGAAGCTGAAAAAAAAGAAATAAGAAGAAAAAATTTGAGACTTCGTGAGAAAGTTGGGCAATTGAAATATGAAGCAGAGATACAAAGAAGCAAATTAGAAAAAGTCATAAAAGAACGAGATCTGATCAATAGTGATTTAAAAGATCTACACCAAGAAAATAAGAAGTTACAAGTTCAATTCAAAATCGAAAAAAGTCATCAAGTCTTACCTTAATCGACAACGTGAAATGGATGAGCTCCGAGAGGGAATAAACCAATGGAAGGGCAAAGCTCAAGAAAAGTAAGAGGAGACCACCAAAATTTCTCAAGAATATCAGAATTGGAAGGGAATTATATTCTACAACCTCAACAAGATTGGTGGAATGCCAAAACAAAAAGAAAAGGTTGAAAGTCATGCTCATAAAAGAGAGAAGAAAGCACTTTGAAGTACTGAATGAAAAAAATCACTTCACCAGATGATCCAAGGGTTGGAAGCTACAACTGCAAGATCACAAGAACCATATTTCAATAATGATAGATGAGTGGCATAGAAGGGAAAAAGATTAGATCTTCATATGTGATTTAGAAAGAGATACTCGCATTATGTGGAAAGTAAAAGGTTTAGAAAGGCAACAGTACATATAACATATAACCAGTCAGGTTTATAAGGCGATAAAAAAGGTACGAGAGATAGTTGAAAAGGTAGAAGCATTAAACAAGAAGTCAATCATGTAGGAGAACATGGACAGTGCCTAGTAAACTTTCTAGACGAGGTAAAAGACCATTATGAGCAAGTTAAACGCTTCTATAGATATAATTCTAGGATGATAAATCTCATGTAATCAAAGTTGTATGGAATCAATAAAAATTTCTAGTATTGAAATTTGTCCAAGAGCAAATATTTTTTGCATTCATACATCATTTGCATCATTTTTTTAAAAAAAAGTTTAAAAATAAAAATTTTGACACATGGCATTCTGATTTTTCTAAAAATTTTATGGTAATAAAGGTTCAAGAATAGCTTCGTCCTTCAAAAATTTTGACTCAACCCACTTGCCATTCATACAACACCAGAACTCAAACAAGAATTATGAAGTAAGAATAGACCAGTCGATTTGAAAGAATCGAGAAAGCTCAAGAAAAACTAAGAGGGATCTTAGTAAAATAATGGATATGCTCAGGAAGCTTGATAAAGGAAAAACAGTGAAAGAAAATCTCAGCTCTCAAGAGCAATCGCCAAACATGGTAGATCCTGTTTATCTTTCCAGGGTTTGAGCTACAACCGACTCAACCTTCTCAAGAACTAGAGTACAAATTCCTATTTTCGGTGGATATACCAATCCTTATCCATGAATGACATCTACACTTGCTTTGGGATAATTTTAAAATTTTGTTAATCCTGTTATGATGAAAAAACCACCCGAGCCAATCCTAATTCCTGATTTGGATGATCTCAAAGAAAGAAAAAAGCTAGGGATAAAGATATCTGAGAAAATGAAATATAATAATGCTCAGAAAAGATGAGGTTATTAGAAGAAAGGCTTAGAGCAGTAAAAAGAATAAATTTTTATGGTTCCATAAATGCAATCAAGCTTTGTTTAGTCCCTGATGTGGTCATTCCGCCTAAATTCAAGGTCCCTGAATTTAAAAAATATGATGGCATAAAATATCCGATAACCCATATCACCATGTATTGTCGAAAGATGACAGCGCATGCTTGCGATGAGAAGTTATTAATGTACATATTTCAAGATAATTTTATGGGTTCTACAGCTAGATGATATGTTCAATAAGATAAAACTCGTATTCGTTCTTGACAAGAGCTTACAAAGGCATTCCTTACATAATATCGACATGTCACGGATATGATTTCAGATCATCTATCCCTACAAAGTATGAAAAAAAAAGTAACTGAAAACTTCAAAGAGTATGCATAAAAATGGAAAAACGTGACTGCACAAGTCCAACCTCCTCTCACCAAGAAAAAATAACTATTTTATTTGTGAATACTCTAAAAGAACCATACTATGAGAGATTGATAGGCAATGCAACCAAGAACTTTACAGATATGGTGATATCGGGTGAGATTATCAAAAGTGCTATAAAGAATGGCAAGCTCGATATAGAAGAGACAAGTAGAGTAAAGAAAGTTGGAGCTCCTAAAAAAAAAGAGAATGAAGCCCAAACAGTAAACTATGTAGGGTAACAGTTTAGAGGTTTCACGCCTTACACTGTACCAATCTACCAAACCCATTACCCTTCCATAAACAATGTTACATCCATCCCTTCATCCATATCAACCATACCAACCATTACAACCACTAGCTTATCTATCCCATTTTTAACCATTTTTTCAGACACCCATCTATTCTTATAGTTGTCTTACTGTACCTATAATACTAGAATGGAGACCTAATAATGGTCCAAGAGCCCAAGAAATACCCAAGAAAAACTCACTTTCGATTTCATTCCCATGACATACACAGATTTGTATCCTTGATTTGTTGAGAAATATCTACTTACTCTTGTTATTATTGAACCTTATGAAATCTCGTTTCCCAAATGGTATGACACCAATTCGTATTGTGATTATCATTATGGGAATTCAGGTCATTCCACTAAGAACTGTACTGCTTTGAAGCGAAAAGTGTAAGGGTTAATCAATGAAGAAGTATTAAATTTTGATACCAACCAACAAGGGACTCCAAATGTCAATGGAGCCCTCTACCTAATCATACCAGACCATCAATAAATGCTTTAGTTGATGGGCAAATAAGCTATGTGAAAAGAAGAATAGAAGAGGTTAAAACTCTTATGGCTAAAGTGTTTGAAGCCTTGGTCAAAGCTGACATGTTGAAGCCAATAGAACCTCAAAATTACTCTAAAGCGATTAACTCAACTGAAAGCAGTAATTATCACGGAGGTGTTCTGGGGTATTCTATCGAGAATTGTCACCAATTTCATCAAGAGGTGTAAAAATTGATGGATGAAGTCGAATAGAGTTTTACCAAAAAAGAAAAGAGTTAGTGAAAGCTGAAGTGTCTACTATTAATTCAAAGAATAAGTTTGTGCGTAGACCGGTAACTATCTATTATGATGAGAAGCCAACATCGAAGCTAGAAAAGCTTATTTCTCGACCAGTGGTGACAATTAAAGTTCTTAGCCCTTTTTCATATCAGAATGATAAAAGTAGTAGCTTGAAAGTACGATTATGATGTCGTAGTCAACCCAGATACTGCCAACATAATGGGTATAGGAGGCATAATTCAAAGTGATAGGTGCTATACCCCAGAGGCTCTAAAAAAAGGTAGAAAAAAAAAGCTAAGGTAGGAGAAGAAAATGAAAGTCAAAGCGGTCTTGACCTAACCTCAAAAAAAGAATGTCAGAAGTCAGTATCTGAGAGTGAAGCAAGTGAATTTTTAAAGTTAATAAAACATAGTGAGTACAGTATGGTAGAATAGCTTAACAAGATGCCACTAAAATTTTACTATTATCATTATTGCTCAGTTCAGAGTCCACCCCGTAAATGACTTTGGCTGTAGGTGCTAAATCAAGTATATCATGTCTCACCCATACTTCTGTTGAATAATGTGGAAAGCAGCTTGTTTGGTAATTTGACGATTTCCAACTATATCTCTTTCAATGACGCCAAAGATTCCCTTCCTGAAGGTAGAGGAAGTACCAAGGCTCTTCCCATTACTCGTGAAATGTAAACCGGGTCATACTAATGGCTAAGGTTTGATTGATAATAGCTCATCCATCAATGTTATACCCTGTGACTAACTCTGGCAAAACTTTCTATTGATGGATCTTATAATGAAACCTAGTCATATGATAGTGAGCGAGCCTCTTCGATGCAAACAAAAGCAGATGTGCTAGGAGATATAGAAGTGCCATTACAGGTTGGCCCATGCACTTTCAACATGAAATTTCAAGTTATGAACATATCTCTTTCATACAGTTATTTATTGGGTAGACCATGGATTCATATGGCAGGTGCTGTCCCATTTTCATTACATTAAAAAGTTAAATTCATTGTTAAAGGAAGCTAACATGTGTGGCAGAAGAAAAGATTTATTGGTAACTCAATCGATAAATACTCCTATGTGAAATTAACAGATGAAGTTCTAGAATGCTCTTATAGATCCTTCGAGATTGCCAATGCAACATATATAGCTGAAGGATCTAAATTATATTCGTCACACTTATCTACGATAACTAAAATGATAGTCAAACAACTTACCAAGATGAGATGGTGACCTGAAGCCGGACTTGGAAAGAACCTGCAAGGAATCACGAAGCCATCGATCATATATGAAAAGAAAGACAGATTTAGCTTGGGATATAAGCCAACAAGAGGGGACAGAATACGAATGGTGAATGAGAAAAGAGATAAGAGGATAGCTAATCTAGGAGATATGAGTGAGAGTCAGAGTTCTATAATCATTTCATACCTCTATGATTTTTTTCACTCGAGAGGATACATTTATCTAGATTTACCGAGAGCCTCAAGTGCAGGATTCATGGAAAAAATTTTCAGAGTTAGCCATTCAAATGGTGGATGATGAAAAAAAAAGAGTCAAAGTGAAGAGCTATTCATGTACCCTTGTCTTTTAGATTTTGAGTTGGATAATTGAAAAGTTATAGACTGCCTGTTGTTTTTAAAACTTTGAAAAAGTAATGTATTGTGAAACTTTAAATCCCTAATTACTTTCTACGAGTATTAAAAGATCTTTTATGGCGTGTTTATGTTTGTCATTTTAATAAAAGATTTAAAAGATGCATCCGTATTTTTTCTATTATTTTCATCTTCATTTTACTTTCCATTCTTTTCTTTCCATCATTTTCTTGCCATTCCATTTTTGTGTGCCAATAGTCTCTTCATCTTACCCTTTGTAGGGTCTCAAACAATGAACATAAAGATAATCATGGCAATAATCTCATATTTGATTTTGAAAACTTAATTCATGTTGATGAACTTGATAATGAAAAAGATTCAGATAACTACACACTGCCTTTTGATTTGTTAAAATTAATAGAACATGAAGATACC